TTGATTCTTGGGTGTTTTCTTGATGATTAGAAGTGTAACAAGTCTTATAATTCACTAGGATAGAAGTACTTACTAGTTAGAAGCTTGAAAAGGTGCTAAAAGTCCAAGAACACTTGTGTGTGTTCTTGGTGTTCTTGGTGAAACTTGAAGATCTACACTTTTGGAATGATTTCATGGATGGAATCATGTAAGATCACTAGATTAAGTAAGATATCAACTTTTTAGGGATAGAAACACTTACAAAGTTGAAGATCTTGAAGAAAAGTCGGATGATACTTGAGAGAGAAATGGGTTTTGGATCTTGAAAATGTGAAAAGTGGTAAATAATGACTAAGTGTCATATTTATACCCCCTTTTAGGGTTTACGGCCGTAAACACCTTTTGTATAGGCCGTAAACTCCAAACTCTTGGAGTTTTGGGACTTTATTGTTGCACAATAAACCCTAGGGCATCCTCTCTCCTGATATCTCCTAAAGTACTAACTTTAAAACACTCAAACTTATTCCACAAAGTTTGAAAATTAGCAGAAACAGTTCTGACTTCTATTGAATTGAATTGTTGTACAGAATAAAAATTTCGGGTTGTCACAAACAAGCATATGAGTCGAAGTTTATCTGTTCCTTCTTGGATTAGAAGCGATATCTGGGACCCTCGATGATTTGGTGTTGACCCATATACCGGGCCCGGTCAGAACTAAGTTGATGTGTTCAATTAAGTTCTATGTCAAACAAATTGGAAATCGGGAAACAAACAGCTGGACAATAAGTAAGACATTGTTCCATGTATCTGTCCGGCTGATATCTAGAACAGAGGATTATATGATCACTTATCTTAAATGGCGTATCATCATCATCTCAGTTCCGAGAGACCTTGAAAGAGCAACGATTGCTGATCGGTTCCTGAAGTCATTCTTTCAGTTATAGTTATTAGACTTATCCAAGTGGGAGATTGTTGGATTAGTGTCTAAGTTCATAACTGGAATGTACTTGACCCGATTAGCATGGTCCATTTGGGTTGCAGGGCATCATGCATTTGGATAGACTAAAGTGAGAGAAATAACACTTAAAGGATTCTTAATATATTATAAGTTCTAATATATTAATAGTATTATTTAATTAGTATTGATCAAGAATTAATTTGGAATTAATTAAGTGATCAAAAGAAGACTAATTAAATATATGGGTTGATTGTGTAAATCATCTGTATAGTGGGCTTATGCTCCATGGATTATCAAGTTGGGCTAAAACCCATAAGATGCTCCATGGTGTTTATAGAACCCATGGGTCATGGAAATGAAAAGTCATGACAATTAGGGTTTACATGGTGTAACCCTAATTGTAACACACTATATAAGCATCATGTTCTTCACCAAAATCGGCCACTAAGAGAACAAGTGAGGGCTAGCCGATTTCTAAGTGTTCTTCATTTCTCTCTAAGTTATTCCAAGTGCATTTGGTGTTGTGTGAGACATTTGAGGCATCACACTTGAGGTGCTAGGCTCACAAGGTTCTCAAGGAATTCAAGCAACTAAAGGTATGTATTTCTTACTATCTTTTATGCTTAAAAGTTCCCCATGTATGCTAGATAGGTTATGAATCTTGGAAAAACAAATTTGCACGTATCATAGATAAAACATAGATCCAAGGTTTCTAGGGTTGCATGTACACCATAAGAGTGTTAGAATGCTCAAAACCCTTCAGCTACATGCAAGGATCATTTTCCACTACCATTTATCGATCAAATGCTTGAGAGGTTATCCGGTCATCTCTACTATTGTTTCCTAGATGGTTTCTCGGGTTACTTTCAAATTCCGATTGACCCACAAGACCAAGAGAAGACCACTTTTACATGCCCAAGTGGAACATTCGCATATAGACGCATGCCTTTTTGGTTATTCAATACACCAGCTACTTTCCAAAGGTGCATGATGGCTATCTTTCACAACATGATCGAGAAAATTTATGGAGGTTTTCATGGATGACTTCTCGGTTTTTGGGTCCTCTTTTGAAGATTGCTTGTCCAACTTAGATCTAATGCTAGCAAGATGTGAGAAGACCAACCTTGTCCTTAATTGGGAAAAGTGCCACTTCATGGTTAAGGAAGGAATTGTGTTGGGACACAAAGTTTCAAGGTTGGGGATAGAGGTTGATAGAGAAAAAGTTGATACTATAGCAAAATTGCCACCTCCAACAAATGTAAAGAGGGTAAGGAGCTTTCTAGGCCATGCGGGATTTTACCGCCGCTTCATTAAAGACTTTTCAAAGTTCACAAGGCCATTGACTCAACTTCTTTTGAAGGATGCCCCATTTGACTTTTCTAAAGAATGTCATGAAGCGTTTCAACTATTAAAGGAAAAGTTAATTAGTACCCCTATTATGATAGCTCCAAACTGGAGCCTTCCTTTCGAGCTAATGTGTGATGCTAGTGATTATTTGGTGGGAGCTATTTTAGGACAAAGGGTTGATAAAGATTTTCAACCAACCTATTATGCAAGCAAAACTTTGAACCCAACTCAAGAAAACTACACTACTACTGAGAAGGAGCTGCTAACGGTGGTGTATGCTTTTGATAAATTCCGTCTATATTTGGTTCTGTCAAAGACAATAGTTTTTACCGACCATTCTGCCCTTAAGTATCTATTTGCTAAACAAGATGCTAAACCAAGATTGATACTTTGGGTCTTGCTTCTACAAGAATTTGATATTGAAATAAGGGATAAGAAGGGAATGGAGAACGTGGATGCCGATCATTTATCAAGATTAGAGAACCCGCATTTAGAGGAATTGTAAGAAAAGAAGATAGGCGATGATTTCCCTGAAGAATATCTTATGGTTATAGCAGGAGAGGTACCATGGTTTGCAGATATAGCTAACTACCTAGCAAGTGAATACATTCCAAAAGATTTGACCCGACAACAAAAGAAGAAATTCTTTTCAGAAATCAAGTACTACTTTTGGGATGAGTCATACCTTTTTAGAAGCTATGCAGACAGAATGATAAGAAGATACGTGTTCGGGAAAGAGAGTCGAGAAATCTTGAAACATTGCCATAGCGGGCCCACCAGAGGACATCATGGAGCGCAGTATATGGCTAAAAAGATTTTTGATATCGGTTTTTATTGGCCTACAATTTTTAAAGACGCTACTCAATTTGTTAAGGAGTACGATTCATGCCAACAGACGGGAACATTTCATCACGAAACGAGATGCCCCAAAATAGCATTCAAGTTTGTGAGATATTTGATATTTGGGGGATTGACTTTATGGGACCTTTCCCAATGTCAAAAGGAAATAAATATATATTGGTGGCTGTCGATTATGTATCCAAGTGGGCTAAAGCACAAGCGTTACCTACTAATGATGCTCGAGTGGTCGTTCGTTTCCTTAAAAAGTTGTTTTCAAGGTTTGGAGTTCCTAAGGCTATTATTAGTGATCGGGGCACCCACTTCGCAAATGATTAATTGGCTAAGGCGTTGCAAAAATATGGTGTCCATCATAGATTCTCAACATCCTATCATCCCCAAACAAGTGGGCAAACTGAAGTTACAAACTGAGCATTAAAAAGGATATTAGAGAGATCGGTTGGAAGTAATAGAAAGGAGTGGTCAGAAAGCTTGATGATGGACTTTGGGCATTTTGAACGACGTTTAAAACACCTATTGGTACTACACCGTATAGGTTGGTTTATGGAAAGAATTGCCACTTTCCAGTTGAGATAGAGCATAAAGCATTTTGGGCTTTGAAGATTTGTAATTTTGAGCTTGCTGAACTTCGCACCAACCGGTTAATGCAAATGAATGCACTTGAAGAACTTAGAAACGAAGCATCCACTAGTTCCTTGATATATAAAGACAAGAAGAAGAAATGGCATAACATGAGACTAAAAGGTAATAAGGCTTTTCATGAAGGACAAAAGGTGCTACTTTTCAATTCAAGGTTGAAGCTTTTCCCGGGCAAATTACAAACTAGGTGGGACGGCCCTTTTGTTGTCAAGCAAGTTTTCCCACATGGAGCTATTGAGCTTATATCGAGAGATGGAATCCCTTTCAAGGTTAATGGGCATAGGGTGAAACATTATGAAGAAGGAATGCCAATTGAAGAAAGAGAGGGTAAATCGTCAAATTCACACGAGCTGAGACAACATGAATCGGGAAGGAGTCCGGCTTACGACTCCCCAAAAAGAAGTGCTTGTAGGAGGCAACCTGTGATTTTGAGTTTGCATTTTCTTTCCTTTTCTTTTATTTCATTTTATTAGTTTTGTTTAGGTTTTATTCTATCATTCTTCTGATTTGTCTATGAATTCGACATGGGGTATGGCATAATATGAGAGTGGGGTGGATATTCTTAAGAGTTTAATAAATAAGAATGATTTTTAACTCACCACGAGGTGGTAATTTAACAAAAACACGTAAAATCGGGAAAACATGATTCACCACGTCGTGGTAAATCTACCACGTCGTTGTGCCAAAATAACTGTAGTCAAATTAGGGTTTTTTTTCAACTTCAGTAAAAAACACTTCACTTTTACTTCACACACCTCTCTCATCATGTCATCCACTTCCACGAAGAACTCAAGCTTTCTCCTTCATTTTTTTTGCAATACTTCACTAAAAGGTATGATTTCATAGTGATTTTCTTACTCTATTTCACTTATTACGTTAGTATTGGGCATATATTTCTTGATTAGCACACATTTAGGGCGGATTTTAGGAACCTAGGGTTCCGATTTTTGCAAAAATCGGACCCAATTTTAGTTGTCTTACACCTTCATTTTGCTACCATTCTACTCCATAATATGCCTTGAACAAACCCTGAACTTGTATTGAGTTGAATTGGAGTGAAAAATGGTCTGATTTAACCAGGAATCCCGACAGTGCATCGACCACGACGACTCGTCGTGGTCCTCGTCGTGGTGGAGTCTTTTCCAGTTTATTATGTTGCATTTTGGGTGTAATCATATATATGGTTCTTTGGGTATCCTTTGTGGTTATTTTTGCAGGCATGGCTAACCGTTTAAGACGCAACCAACCCGGAGGTCGCCCCGTGTTTCCGTGGTATTCTTTCCCAAGGGATGTTGCACCCGAGGTTCACGATCATTGGAATGCTAAACTTGAATTGATGAAGAAACGAAAATGCATGTTCCCACGTTTGTAGATTGGCATTGGATGGGACAAAGGGTTAATGGAATCCATTGAACCTTATCTTGACAAGGTTTTTAATGGAGTTCATGGCCAGTTTATGTGCTTGGGGTGGCGCCGGATATTCGAAATTCAAGAGGTCGTGTATAAGGAATTAGTTCATGATTTTCTAGCAACAGTTTCCTTTGCATGGAAAGATGGGATTTATGTTGATGACAACCTCACCTTTTGCCTTGGTGGTGAAAGACGCTCTCTTAGCCTTGCCGACTTTGCACTTAGGATGGAAATTTACCTTCCGTCCGAGGTTCATTCGGAGTCATATCAGTAGTACATTGCAACCTCTATAAGAAATATGGACGAGTTTAAAGCTGAGGGGGATAAATGTACCATTGTTGATGTCTTCTTCTTGTGGGATATTACTTCAACCGATATCTATGTTGATTTACCTTTTCACTTGGCTGAATTCCTTGCAGCTCGAGTAGCCAAGGGTAGGCGCGGGTCCCCATTATATGGTGGATTGTTGATTACACGGCTCACACGTTCATTTGGAGTTCTTGAAAAATGTAAGTTGTCATGTTAACTGTGGAACATCAGAAACCCTTTTCCGTCCTTCTGTACAGGTGGGCAAATATTATTGTTGATCTTGGAATGGGTGGTTTTAGCATTCCCGATGACACTCCACGACAGCGAGTTCCAAACCGAGGAAGGCAACGGGGTAGGGAAGCTGGAGAGGACGAGCCACCGGTTGTTCCCGAGGTTGATGAGATGTCCACGGACCCATACAATGTTGCTAGCCAGAGGTTTGAGGATAATTTGGCAAGGAGTGGCAATTATACCAACATGGGTATCGATTATCATATGGAGCAGTTGCATTTTCCCCGACCCGATCATGTTCCTCCTACATACCCTTATGCACCAAGTTGGAAGGAACTATGGAGGAAGCAACAAGGTGGGGCTGGTGGTAGTGGTGGAGGAGCTGATGATGAGGAAGATTGAGAGTTATCCTTTTGATTTCTTGGTTTTAAGACTTGTTTCGTTATGTTTTTATTTTGTTTGTTTGGTGTGTTGAAAACTTATTTCTTGTTTTGGTTGTTGACAATGTTTCCTTCTTGCATTACTTTTCTTTTTTTTTTAGTTCCAGGTATTATTGTAGAGTCCAAGTAAGGGTATTAATGTCAAACGAAGGTTCTTTATAGAACACGCTTAGGAGACATCGAGAGAAGCAAGATTTGAGCACATTTTTCGGGTGTTTATTTGAGTCATAGAGTGAGGAGTCACGTCCAATAGCTTTATACATAAATTGGTGCAACATATAGTTCGCAATTAAGTACCTAAGGGCACCAGATTTTGCACTTTGAAGGCCACCACGATGTGGTACTACACACCACGTCGTGTTGTCACAATTATAACAGCAAAAAAATGTTCTGTTTGGGTTACCACGACGTGGTGATATCCACCACGACGTGTTGATTTTCAAGTCCGTTTTCCAAGTCTGCTCTAGCACTTTCAGTATTCTACATGATCAAGAGTAGTGTTTCCTATCTTATATTCATTCTCATGGTATGGATGAGCTGTTCCCAGACCATAGAATTTCACGACATAATGAAGAATTATCCCGGCTGCTACGACATGGTTGACACTTTCCTATGTTGTGGGGGAGTTTTTCAAAAGCATAAGGAGGCTGCTATTCTAATTTCTACTTCTGTTTCCACACGTTCAAGCAAGCTAAGTCTTTCCCACATTTCGAGATGCATCTTCTATCCCAGGGGAGTCTGTTCCTTTTTCTCCCTCCTTTTAATTTTATGTTTTGCATACCATGCAATGAGGGCATTGCATGAAATAAGTGTGGGGTAAGGGGTATATTGCATAAGAAAAAGCATTTAATTTTAAAATCTTTGCATTAATAGTTTCTAAACAGTATAACTTAGGAAACTTAGCTAATAATTAAAAATTTGTCCAATGAAGTATGGGAAGATCCGAAGAGAACCCAAATGTTTACTTGAGCCAACACATGTTATAGTGTATTTGTGGCTTCCCATTTCCTAGTGAAAACTCATGAAGTATGAAAGTGTGACAACCGTCAAAATTTGAGTCGGTTCTAGATTTGACTAGAATTAGTTACACATATAGCCACAACACATTCTAGACTTAGTAACTAGAAGCTAAGTTATAACCTACTAGAAACTTGGAAACAATTAGAATCAATGGATAGTATACTTAGATTTCACATTGATATGTGAATTCTACAACTACTTAATTGTAGTGATTATCCATATTCGGGTCACTCTTTGACTTGAAATCCTTTTCATGCACCATATACACACATCATGCACTTGACCTAGTGGTATAAATTAGGTCCGAGTCTCGTAGGAACTTAAGTTAAAGTTGAAAACTAGGGCTAGTATACTTGATTCCTCAATTTCACTTGAATGTTGAAACCACTACACGGAATGCCAATAAACCGATAAAATAAGTTACAAACATTATTTATAACTATACAAGAGTTATAATAACATAAGATAATTTGACGTCTCAAAGATTCTATTTATTTTGATATCCAAAGATTTACAAACTCTCAAAAACCCTAAAAGCCCTAAAATCTCAAATTTATAAAGTTTAACACCTAAGACTGCATTAAATTTGTTATGAACCTCATAATATCAATTGAAAATGACTAAATTAAGGAAAATATAATCAAGGAACAAAAAAATTTAAGTCATTAACAATTACCTATAATTTATAAGTCAAAAATAAAGGTTTCATGAACAAAATCTTGGTTAGGGTGTATATTTTATAAAAAGTTTGAAACTTTTATAAAATAATTAAAATTTTTACAAACTTAAAAGAGAGGGAGGGCATTATACCCTCAAAAGTCGGCCACCCTCTCTCATCCTTCAATATTTGCCTTCCTAAAACATTTACACAAACCTTACACTCCATATCCCTCTCTCTCTTTTTTCCAACACCTCCACTTCATTTTCTCTCTATTCTCTCTTCCTCTCTCCTTCAAACACGAATTTCATTCCAGAAAATAAGTCCAAGAACACACCTTGAACTCTAAATCTTCATCATCTTGTGGTGTTCTTGAAGGTAAACTCGATTTCTACTTCATTATTCCTTCAAAATCTTAAGTTTTCTTACATATCGTCTTCTTCTACACCATTCTATGGATGGATTATGAATCATATGTTCATAACCACAATTTTTTATGATGTTGGAGGTAGTATTTCACCCAAAAACCAACATGCATGTGATGATCTTCAAGCTTAAAGGCTTGATTATCAAAGTTTGTTGTTAAAAGCTTTCAAATAGGTTCATAAAGGATTTATTCCCAAATAAAAATCTAAAACTTCTTTTCTGATCAAATCCGATTTTTCCAAGAATTCCACCAACAAAATGAGGTCTATAAATCCTAGGTAATTTCATGGATGACCCCTAAAGTCAATGATGACATTTTAGTGAGTTTCATCGATTTTTGTTACTGTTTGGTATGTTTTTGAATTTTCTTTTTGTTTAATACAAATAAATCATAAAACCATGTTAAGGAATGTGAAAAGGCTATATAAGATTTTGCGCAGATCCTACCTCATGTGGAGTACTCAGAAAAATATTTTCACAAATTTTCATAATGCATTCCTATTTTCCCCTATTTTTGTATTTATAATGGACTAACAATGGGAAATATATTTCTACTCATCCAAAATTCATGAAAATTTACCAGACAACCTATAATAGATTAGAACTCTAAATAAAAATTTGGATGATTTTTCTATTCAGTATGCTAATTTTCTTTTATTTTATAAGATTAAATACATTTAAATCCACAAAATCAGATTACACTATATAAAAATCACTATTGGTATTTTTCCTGGATTAGGTACACTGTAAATGAAAGTTTACAAAAATTTTGGTATATAACTTTAACTGTTGATAATTATTCACCAATTAATGATTAGTCAAGAGAATAAAACAAAGAAAAATAGCAAAACTAATTGAAAAATATCTTTTATATTTTTAAAAGCTTCTATATGTATAATAACAGTGTTACAAAAAGTTTGGGCAATTTTGGAAACTATCTTCTATTTATTTCCATCTTTGTTAGAATAAATGCACAAAAATCATAAAATCGGGTTAAACTGTTTAGAAACTCATTTTTATATTTTTTTCCCAGCTTAAGAAATATTTAATGGCAGCATTATAAAAAGTTTGGGAATTTTTATTATCTGGATACTATTTTTCATGAATTTATATTGATATGAAGGCTTAAAAATTTGGAAAAATAGTTAATCACATCAAAAATTCAAGGGAAAATTTCTGGAAGACCTCTACTGTATTTGGAACAAAAAATGTAAAATTTGATGTCCTAAAGTATTTATGCTCATTGTATTTATTTGACTCGTATAAACTTGGTTGCTATATTTTGCATATTGTGAGTATTCACAACTCCCCCTATTTTCGGTTTTTATGTTTTGGGGTGGAAAAGCATGTCTGAAAAACTGTTTATTATTCGTTGTATTTAAATTGATTTGTATCAAACTTGATTGCTATATTTTTCTATGTATATCTATGCAACACGAAACATGAGGCCTTATTGTCTTAACTCCCTTCCCTTACACTTTAATCCAACCATTAACTCTTTGAGCCAATGGTCATTATGGATAGCGCTATTAGGAATTGATAACTCCACACTCGCCCGATTGTTTGACTGCATGATACCATATAATATATGGAACGATAAGCATAGATCTTGATAGGGCATCATTCATACGCTTGGTTGTGAACTCATTGTTTGCTCATATACATACAGACTTGTTATTTATTATGGCAATAAAATCGTTTATTAATTATAGCAATGAACTTTGTTTCTCATTATAGCAATGAACTTTGTTTGCTCCTTGTAGCAACGATCTCGATTGCTCATTTTAGCAATGAAACTTGTTTACTTGTTTGAGTAACGAACTTTATTTCCCATGAGAATATGAACGTTTCATCTCATTTGGGCAACATACTTTATCTCCCATGATGACAACGAACTTTGTTTATACAAACTTATATACTCATTTTAACAATATACTTTTATTTATGGAAACTTTTATCAAAACTTTGATTTCGATTCATGAAACCAATATTATATTTTTTTATCTGTGAGTACTCACCAACTATTTTTATAGTTGACGCTCGTTTTACATGCTTTTTCAGGAATCATCGAGTAAGTGGTACTTAGGGACACATCACTTTTAGGAGCATTCACATGTGTTGTATTTCAATTTACGTTTTAATTTCTTTTAAAAGTTGTTCAAACCCATTGTAAATTTGTAATGATTTTTA